ATTACTAACATTAACCCCACTCTGTCTCCCCCCCTTTTCTCTCTTTCCCCCCTCTCTAACTCTGTCTCTCTCTCTCTACCTCCTCTTCTACATTCCTCCCTTCCACTCGCCCTTCCTTCCTATCTAGGGCCCGTTGTCTACCGCCACGACGGGCTTTTCTTACTAGTGTGTCAATAAAGCCTCAGCAGCTGTTCAGTCCAATCTACATCCATTGAAATTAATAAGACTGGGCCAAGTCTGCATATGGTTGCACTGTATAAAAAATTACCCATGCGGGAATTAAGATTGCTGGGGAAAAGATCAACAACCTCAGATATGCAGATGATACCACTCTAATGGCTGAAAGTGAAGAGGACCTCAAGAGCCTCTTGCTCAGAGTAAAAGAGGAGAGCGCAAAAGTGGGCTTGAAGCTCAACATCAAAAAAACTAAGATCATGGCATCCGGCCCCATCACTCCTTGGCAAATAGAAGGGGAAGTCGTGGAAGTAGTGACAGACTTCACGTTCCTGGGATCCCAGATCACCGCAGACTGTGACAGCAGTCATGAAATTAAAAGACGCCTGCTCCTTGGGAGGAAAGCGATGGCGAACCTAAACAGCATGATAAAAAGTAGAGACATCACCCTGCCAACAAAAGTCCGCATGGTCAAAGCAATGGTATTCCCAGTAGTCATGTATGGCTGCGAGAGTTGGACTATAAGGAAGGCCGAGTGCCGAAGAATAGATTCTTTTGAACTATGGTGCTGGAGGAGACTCTTGAGAGTCCCTTGGACTGCAAGAAGATCAAATCAGTCAATCCTAAAAGAAATCAACCCTGACTGTTCCCTGGAAGGCCAGATAATGAAACTGAAGCTCAAATACTTTGGCCACCCAATGAGAAGGGAGCACTCCCTGGAGAAGACCCTGATGCTGGGAAAGATTGAAGGTCAAAGAAGACGGGGACGGCAAAGGATGAGATGGTTAGACAGTGTCATCGATGCAACGAACATGAAATTGAGCCAACTTCAGAGGACGGCGGAAGACAGGAGGGCCTGGCGGGAGATGATCCATGGGGTCGCGAAGAGTCGGACTCGACTGTGCGACTGAACAACAACAACTATTTGTTCCCCCAAAGGTTAAGCTGTTCAGCTTCCAAAGAAAAGCTTTTCCTTGAAAATAATCTTACATTTTAAATCACATTAGATTGGGGGGAGGTAAATAGAAAACACTTAAGGTTCAGTAGCCTTCTGGAAATAATTCTTACTTCAGGTGAGTAATCTCATTCTCCAAAGCTGCATTTCGTTTCTGAAGCTCTTCCAGCTCTCTCTCAGATTCTGAAGATCGAACTCCTATTACATGATCAACAGTAACACCACTGCTCTTGAGTTTCTTCTGGAGCATATATTTTTCTTTATCAGCCCTGAAATACATCAATGGTCTTCATTCATTTAAATATTCATTTGCTTGTTTAGTGGTACTTTCATAAAGTCACTGCCAGTACTCACTTTGCTGCATGATAATCCTCTATATAGAAAGAAAGCTCTTCCATGAATACCTCAGTATGGTACTAAGATCAATGCCAGTAGGCATGCAGTTATGGAGATCCCATCTGAAGCCATAGAGTGTGCCTTGCAATGTTCTGGCAACTATATTCTGTGTACCTTACTCCACAAGAGGAGAATACAGCTATTTTGCACAGTGTTTCATTTCATCATTATCTTTACTGTGGCACTGAAACTGTTGCAATGGCAAGACAGGACACCACATGGACACCTGGAATCTATCCGCTCCAAACAGGTGTGATAGCAAATGCTGTCTATATGCCCTTTCCCTCTCCTAATTCAAAGAAAGAGCGAGTCCAAGCAGTGCTCAAGGTCACTAGTTGCTCAGACAGTCATGATAGAGGCCGCTCACTGGGGCCCCTCTTCCTCAATGGGGAAACACAGCAGATGCAGAGGAAAATTTTGCAGTGTCATGGAAGTGGGCCAGCTCAGAGACTGCCCTAGGACAGTACAACATCTCTCAGAGTATTGGGATGACACCTAACGTGAGGTCACATGAAGGGATTCCCCTAGGAGAATCTTGATCAAACTTTGATCACCAACCACACCCTACCTGAAAGAGACAAATGGACAATGATGAGGCAAGCCTCACAAAGCCCCCAATAGGCAGGGACTTCAGGGTGACAAGGGAGCCTATCAGGTTAAATACTGGGGCTGTATTCTCTGAAGCTCTGTCATAGGTACCATGTAATTTCTGGTGCTTCACTGATGAGGAGCTGTGTTTTATAAAAGCTATATTAATGTATCAAAAACAAATCTCTTGCTCAGAGGTTGCTTTCCATTGGTTAGAACGCTGCTACAAAAACAAATCTTACATGCTGAGCATTATGCTAATTAAAATCAAATTACTTTGAGAAAAGTTCCTTTACTGTGTTTAAGTGTTTGGTTATAGACTCTACTTCCTTCTCCTTTTCTTTTAATTTATTCTTCATCCCTTCCATTTTAGTCTGCCATTTTTTACTTTCTTCCCATCGTATGATTTCCTCCTTTACATTCTGAAAAACACAGAAGAGCAATGTTTTCTCAGGGTCTATTTTAAAAGGTAACTAGACACAACAATCTTTACTCAAGCCTGCTTTGCCATTATTTTCTTTACAATTAATATATTTGGTTGCATTCCCTGTTTTGCTCAATGGCATTTGAGCTGCCTGCCTGTAGAAGACAGGGTTACCAAGTGCTATAACAGTATATACAGAAGAGAGGGATGGGGTGAACAGATGGTATGGAAAAGGAGAAAGAGGAAAATGGTTAACAAAGTTGAGGGACAGACCTATGACGGTGCAGAAAAACAAACAAGTGTACTCTGTGGGGTAAAGAGAGAGAGAGAAGGGAAGGTTAATGGAGAGAAAAAACAGTCTAGAGAAAGCTGAGTTGCTACAGTGGGGTAAGATTCAGGTGGGTAGCCATGTTGGTCTGAAGCAACAAAACAAAATTTGAGTCCAGTGGTACCTTTAAGACCAACAAAGTTTTATTCAAGGTATAAGCTGGAACAATTCCAGTATGGTTCTTGCCTCTATTAAACACCGTTTATTATGCTTATGTCAGGGGCCATTTCCTGCAGGAGCGCACAGGAGCGGAGCTCCAGCAGTAAGCCCAGGGGGCGGGCACATGCAACAAGTCCCTCCCCATGCTTCCAGCAGCCCTTAGTCAGAGCAAGAAGCAGCCAGGTAAGTTGCAGAGCCCCCCCAGCCCCCTGGTCCAAAACAGTCCAGTGGCACCTTTAAGACCAAGTTTTATTCAGGTACAAGCTCTCCCTCCTCTGCGAGGACAGATCTGCACGTCCCCCCCCCAATACCTAGCAATCCAAAACACTCCAGTGGCACCTGAGTGGTGGGTGTTGCCTTCTGACACACTTCCGGTGATGTCAGAGGATGTGGCATATGCAAATAAGTTATGCTAATGAGTTATGCTAATGAGCTCCTGCACCTCTTTTTCTACGAAATGACCCCTGCTTATGCTATTTGCTGCTCATCCTCTACTTACATGTATGAACTGGTAACTTCTATTGCAATGTATCTGAAGAAGTGTGCATGCACATGAAAGCTTATAAACTATGTTGAATAAAACTATGTTGGTCTTAAAGGTGCCGCTGGACTCGAATTTTGTTACAGTGGGGTATGGGGTGCCGAGAGAAAAAAGAGGGTAACTGAGAGAAAAAGGAGGGTAACTCAGATTGAGCTTAACAGAACACACATTTAAACCATAATGAAATACTTTTCTGTAGATAAACTAACAGTGCAGCCCCGCTGATTAAAAAATTCAAAAAGTAAGTGCTCAGAATTATTGGAGTTATAAACCTCTGCCAATTGTACTGTTGGATCACTGATTTAGTTGTTGCTTTCATTGCAAACAAAGAGGCTGAAGAACAAAACTGGAAACCAAAAGGCTCAACTGTAATGCCATGGGAGAAACACAACAGCCAAAGAAACAAAAAAAACACTGGCTAAGCCCGTTCTAATTGTGTGCGTCATATATACTTTGTCTTCTCGTGGAGTTTTCTTAGCCAAGTCTTCATTCTTCCTTTCTAGTTCAGTTTCCAGCTTTTTAATTTTCTTTTGAAGTTCATCTATCAGAGTTTGCTCATCAGCTTTACCCTGAAAAAAAGTATATATAACTTATTGATACAGAGCTTCAGCACAGCTAAGGGAACACCCAACTGGGTGTGTTATAAAAGCAGCAGTGTTCACTGGATCATGCTCCTAGTTGTGCAGGAATGGATGCTCTGAAGAAAATCTAAATTTACAAATAAAAGTCATCATGATTAAGCTGCAGGTAGTGCTTACCCTAGTGACCTAAAAGAAAGGCTAGGGTTTCCCCCCCACATGTACCATCAAGAAAAAATACGGGGCATGGATGTCTTAAATTCACATGCAAGTTAGTTATGTGCAATAAAAATATTTTGTGTATAGCTTTTTTTGAGGGAAATCATCTTACATTAAGGATCATCTTAATTTCAGGTAATTCAGTGACAAATGGGTATTCAGATAAAATAAAAGTGTTTCCATAGTAACTGAAAATTTGGTTCTTCAAGGAGATTAACACTTGGTTCCAACAGATATTCCCACAGAAGCTTGAAAAACTGTCATCTTTTCTAAACAGGTCACCAGATCTGAGCATACATGTAGGCACTCCTCTCCCATCATGTGCCAACGAATACGACACCAGACCATTTTGCTCTGCACAGAGGCTAGTTCTCTGTCCACACAACCAAGATGAGCCCCTGAGGTGCTGAATATGCCGCTGGGGCTGGGCTTGATCCCAGTGTTTCTTGCCTATACCCTTCCTCCTTTTGTTTGCCAATGCACAAACAGTTACACAGGTAGAAGTTCAGATATTTTGGCACTCAAATCCAAAAAGCTGCTTGTCCCTCATGTAGACAGTACTGTGGGTCAGCAATGGGGCTGCCAGGAAGACCAACAACCAGCAACCCTAACTGCATGCCAATGATCTGTTGGCTATTGGGAGAAAAACAAATAATTGCCATTGGCACAATAGTGTTACATCACTGCTTGGGAAGGGAATCAGAAGTGACATCACACCACCTAAGAATTGCTGTGAGCTCTATGGTTCTATCATAGAGTTTTCTGCAATTCCTAGAGTGGCGTGATGTCACCCCCGAAGTAATGTAATGCCCTTGTGCCAATGGCACCCCCATTTCCCTGCCTCCCTAGACTGTCCAGTCAGCAGTGCATGATTAACCACAGTGCAAAAAACACAACAAACCAACCAACCAAAAAAGTCCCACTATACATATGCCATTTACCTGAATTGCATTGCTTAGCCTTTTAATTCGTTTTCTCAGTTCTTCATTTTCCTTTTCCATTTCCTCTTTCTCCCTTAGAACTTTTGTAAGGGCTTTCACTTTTTTTTGAAGCTCCTGGTTTAAATCATCCATGTCATCTAGTAACGAATTTTCTTTATTTCTACTTATCCTAAGGGAATCTTTCAGTTTTGAAAGCTGATCATTTAAATCCTCTATTTGACACTATGAAAAGAAATGAGAGAACATGTGTTATTCAGGAGAGAAAATGAGAAAATGAATTACTATGGCAATATAAAGTGATTTGTTTCTACAGAAAGCAATGGCTATTACATACAACCGTCACCATTATTGGTATTGACCACTATACAGAAAAGACCAGAACTGCTTGAGTTTCTGGCAATGGAAAGGCTTAGCAGTGGCTATTCCTTTACCACAGCACACATGCAGGTATGCACAAACACAACACTCAGTTGCGCCAATGGATCCAAGGTTCTGGATTAAAGACACTTCATATGAGAGAAGACCAATGGTACTGCTTACTCTCATTGGCAGTGGCTTTCCAGAGTCTCATGCAGAAAAAGACTGAACTTGGGACATTCTGAATGCCATTCTGAATGCCAACTACATATTCTACCACAGAGCTATGACTTCTGAATGAACTTATGTGGCCCTGTCACCATGCACTAAGTAACTATGGATTACAAGATCAGATGCTACTAATGACACTAAATAGCTATACAATGTGCACTATGTGCCAATCTGAATAGATTTTTTTCCTAGAAACAGAACCATATTCTTTCTTGATAAAGTAGGTTTCTACTTACATTAGCTCCTATTATAATACATTCATTAGCCTTCAAAACAGAACAAAACTGTTTGTTGTGCATTGCTGTGACAGGTTTACAAAGGCACTATCCTAGAATTTTTTTAAAAAACCTAAATTTACTGGATTATGATCAAGTGCAAATATTTTTGGCCAATATACTTACTACAGTGTACATGCTACAAATGCCATAAAATGAACTTCACATACTATTAAATTCTTTGTGAGTTCTAACTATGGAGGTCTTTGGACTTTGAACCAGTGATGCACAAAAATGTGCATTTAGCACAGTTTTGTTTGTACAAGACCTTGCACAATACCTAGTGCTTTCTTCCCTATATATTATAGTGTCCAGAACATGGCCACACAAAATCTTGTGCCATGACTCTGCCAAAGTAGCTACTGTGATCTTTTTCTTGTGCTTCCACTCATGCTAGCGCTCTAGTACAAGTGAAAATTTTGTACTTGGTCCAAACCTATCATCTGCACGGCTGAGCCTTTCATGCTTTTATTTCCAAACATTTATACCCAACTTTCTTTGATTTAACTTCCTGATATTCAACTTCCATTGATTGAATGGGCTTCATGCAGAGTCCTGCATGTGTCCAAAGAAAGTGATTAGACACCTCTAAGCAGTAATGCCTGGGTAACTGCACCTGAAGCTTTAATACCCAAACAATCATTTTAAAATTGGCAGTGGCAGGGAAGGGGAAGGAATACGATGGTTTAATAAATTCTGTAGCTTTCACAGTGATATATAATCCCTATTGTCCTTTATCTTTACAGGCAACATGATGCTTCCTCCTCACCCTCAGTTCCTTTGTTTGCTTATCCACAATCTGCTGAACATTCATATGTGCTTCCTTTTGTGATGCTACAGAAATAATCTGCTGCTCTGCAGCTGCTGTCATTTCTGCTCGGAGCTCCAGGAGTGCTTTACTTAACGCCTGCAAACATTTACAGATATCAAGAAAATATAGAATTTGCTTAGAATCATTACAAATGCCAAAAGTTATCCATTCATAGACTACTATGTGGTCTACAACCACACATTTAAAGTCAACACACATCTGTTTTGATCCTACAGATTCAGTCCACTAATGGTGGTGCTTTCCTCCAGCACAAACTGCCTTCACTTGATTAAAGAGGTTCTTTGCTAGTGGAAGCCTCCTTGCATCAGAGGAATGTGCTGTTGGCAGAATGGCTCTATGGGATCTGTTATGTAAATTGTGTGATAATGTAAAATGTCGCACTGTAAAGGGATTCAAGTAATTGATTTTAGTCAAAAGGCCAAACCAGGCATTCTTTTACCTTAAAAAGAGTAACCATATATGATTCCCCCCCCCCTTTTCCAGATAACATCTGGTCACTTTTTTGGGGGGGATGTCACAATATGCTATGTACCCCTACCCCATGGCCAACTGTGGAAACACAGGACATTATGACTTGAGATAAATTACTAAAGGCAAGAGTGACCTGGCTATATAGCAGCTGTACAGTGAGGAAAAACTTTGAATCATAAACCAAGTTGATACGTCAACTCTAAAAAGCTATAGAATGAAGCACAGTACTATTTCACCATCCATCTTTATTATTTATATAGATGCCTCATATAAACTATGCACTGCTCATGAATAAAATGCATAGGTTCCAGCCTGTAGGCTCACAAAATCAGAAAGCATGAATCAGTTCTTATTTGCCAGACAGCATTAGCCAATTTATGTCTGAATTACTTTTTCTGTATAGATGACTCACTTTCTGTTGTTTCTCTTTTAAGGCTAGCTGATTCTTCAACCGTTCCACTAGATTTTTCATTGTAGTTGTTGGAGCTCTATTATTTGCTTCTTGTTGGACCGCCAGCTCAGTTTTTACATTCATTAATTCTTTCTCCTTCTGTGACAATGTATTCCTTAGTTCATCCACTTCATCCTTCAATTGTTTCACTTCAGCAGCATGCCTCTCCCCAAGCCTACCATAGCAAAACAATAATGACACCAACTGGTTAACTGAACAAACTCAAGAGGAACTTAACAGAGCCGAAAATACTGTATCTTTTTAATTACAATTATAAATGTTGCCAACAGTGGCCTAGATCAGCAACAGGCTTCATCAAAATGGCTTCCTTGATAATAATATTGAGTTTTGAACTGACTAATTTACAAGCACCCCTGCCCTGCCCACAGCCTTATACTACAGAAGTGCCACTGGACTTTACCCTTGCATAGAAATCTACACACAAAGAGGCCAATGCACATAGCCTTAAACAACAGAGCTGTTCTCTACACTTTTGTAAAGTACACAAATTAGGCTTTAGATGCTCAACACTGTAGGCCACTATTCAAGTGTGAAATCCAATACTTAAACATGTGAGGCCAAAGCACTGCAAGTGAAGCTGAGACGATGAAACGAGGCAGCTGGCAATATTTTGATATCTCACTGACTGCGCATTCTGAAACAAGGTGGAGTTCATTAGAAGTACTAACATAAAAAAGCATGTAGACGGTGCAGCCAGAATAATTTTCTTCTTTTTAAAATTCAAAGTGAATTAGACTTCCATAAGTTCAGTAGTCTTAATGCAATTTTGATCACATGTACTTCGAACCAATTTGATAAAAGCCTTAATACACTAACAATAGCAAAAGCCCGATTATGAGCAAAGGATGCAATCCCCAATGAAGTCAGCGCAACTACTCTGGAGTAAACAGACTGTGAATTGCAACTAGAGTATTTAGTTAGAAAAAATACATTATAAAAAACAGTGTCTCCATTTGCAAAGTGTCTGCACAAAATAACATTCTTGAAAACAAAACCTGTGTGTTATGTAATGGAAAGGTAATAAGTTCACAAAAAAATTAAACTGAATTTTTTTCAGCCACCATAATTTAAATAGTTATTAGCAAACTCTGACGAATGTATCTTGTGTTCTTTCTTCAAATCTCTGCATACTAAGTTTTGACTAAAATGTATAAAGATTTCAGAACGTAAACACAACAGCCGATTACTCCTGACATGAATTGTAACTCTGGTCTAGACTTACTGGGCTCTGACGTTTTCAAACTCCTTGATTTTTGCTATGGTAATTTGTTTTTGCTTCTGTAAATCAGAGGATGTTTTCTTTAATCTGCTGAGAAGAGAAGTAAGAGAGCTGTCTTGTTCTGCTACAGTTTGTTCCATCTCTGCCAGACGAATTAAATGCTTATTTGTTGGGACAACTAAAGTAGGCTTCTTTACCAGCTCCTGTGGAACAAAATACAGTATGAAGAAAATAAATCTTTCATTATTTCTTTATTGGATAACACATTCAACTTATATCTTAGATCAAGCTCCTACCTAATATACATTTTAGAAAGAGTTCCTAAATTATTTAGAGCACAATTCAGTCAAAGCTCTATCTTTTATGCCCTTTGATTTCAGGAAGAGGTGCATAATGTTCTTTCAACAAAACTACTAGTAAGATACAGATGGCCAGTTATCTAATATGCTTATAGTAAAGCCTGCTTGTGAAAAAAGCGCTTAAAATGGTAGCAGTTTTACTTCACTATGATAAATAAATACATAAATAAGCAGGTATGGGATTCTGTGGGATTTTTTCTAATGAATTACCTTAGAGACGTATTTTGTGCATACATAGATCTTATGCTTCTGACTTCCCTATCCTACTATAGCCTTTCGTTGTGCTGCCTTGGGGGTGGGGTGTCAGCAAATCCCTAAGTGCAGCAAAGGGGGACAATGGGGAATCAGCAAGAATCTGCCCCCCCCTCCCATAAGGACCTACCATCAAGGGAACAGACAGGTAGGCTCCAAGCCACAGTGCCTCCACATAATGAGTCACACCTTGATTTTCTCACTTAGCTTTGTTGGATACTGTGTGCTCAGAACTCCCATCACTGACTAGACCAAGAAAAGGTTTTTTATAATAACACTTGCTAAAGGTGACATCTCTCTGTGTCCTTCTCATTATTGTGGCTCACTTAGATAGTATCACTTTGTCTATAATCCATCCCATTCACTATCTGTGAAAGTATTACTATTTTCATAAACCGCATTGTATTCTGTGGTAATAAGACATTCCCCAATGCACTCTCTGCTCACATAAAAATTGTGTTATGTGAGGGCAGAATATCGAGACCTAAAAGATTTACAGGTGGAAACCTTCTAGTTGCATCCAAAGGGCTACATAAAAATCAGCGAAAGTGAAACAATATAATCATCATGTATCATCTCCCTCTTCTTACTTTCTTTTGCCTTCATTTCCTGTTTAAATACTCACACGTACCAGAGCAGTTTTCTTGAATTTATTGAAGGCATTTTCAGTATGGAAATCTAACTTTTGGTGCAGCACTCTGAGGTCTTCTTCGTGTTTCTTCGCAATTTCCTCTTGCTCCTAAATAGTAGAAGATGTACATCCAATATTATTACCACCACCTATAGTGTTCAATTCACTGGGCATGGTGCTCCTGTGCAGAGGCCCCATTCTCCTACCTCTTCCCGTGTGAATGCACAGACACTTGAGCAGGAAGAGAAAGGAAGCATTGTAGAAAGTGAGCCATCCAGCGCTCATGCTCTGTCCCAGTGTGCCTTGGGGCATTGGGGACTGCATCTGAATGGAAGCAAATATTGTGTGCCTGGGGGTGGGGTGAGACCATGCATAAGTGGAAGTGCTTTCCACTTACTTGATCTGCTCGGACTCTTTGGATCCAAGCCTTTGTTTCAATAGTCAATCATTCTGCTCCCAAATACAAGTCTATTCCATTAGTTACAAAAAGGCTAAAAACTAAAGCTCAAGAATAAGGTAACAGACTTCAGTTTTTCCATACACGGGGCCCACTATTAACTCCTACCTTCAACAAGGAACCTACTTTTATTTTTTAACCCCTCTTCACTCCCTCAATATCCTGCTCTTTCTCTCCTTATGAAACTAAACAAGGATGATTTGCTCCAAGCACAGAAAGACAAATGCTGCCCTCCTCTGGAAGTGCAAGTTCACACATATAGCAGCTCCACATGAGTAATGCTCAGCTGCACATCCCAAGTTTTCAGAGCATTTGAACGGAGGCCCACCTTTAAGTGTGAACCAGGCCCAAAGGAGAAAATAAAAGAAAAATACCTCTCTTGCTTTGGCCAAAAGGTGCTGGTACTTTTTCAAGACTTCCTCTTTTTGATTTAATCTTGCTTGCATATTCACAATTGTTTGATGTGCCATTTTCAAGGCACGAGGATAAGCGGGGTCATCTTCATTTCTGTCTAGCTCAGCTATTATCTTCTCTCTCTCAGAAGTTGCTGGTAATCGAAGTCTTAGTTCATTTATGACCTTGTCTCTAGACAAGATATTTTGCTCTGCTTTCCACAAAGCAGTTTCTTTTTCTTTCAGTTTCTGCAGTGAAGAAAATATATATACCAGAACACCATTTATCAAAATATTGTACAATGATATTTCAAAACACTGTATCAATTATTTCTTAGAAGCATTATTAAATACAAAAAAAGATACTTGGTAATGTATGTATGTGTGAAAAAATCTAATTTGCATGAATAGCTTCTATTATTAAAAAGGTTTGAACAGAATATTTACAAAAATTTAGGCTTCTATTTATTTAATTTATACTCTAAACCCCACAGGGGACTTCAGGGCTGCTTTATATGTAACGAAATCCCAGCTCAGAAATTGCCTGGCAAAAAATATCAATTTTTTAAAACAACTTAATGATTCTCATTTCATAGTAGAGCAGAATCTGGGCATATGGAAGAGAGGTTAAGAAAGGGATGCTTTGTCTTGACAGTCCCCAGTGAGAGTGCAAGGCACAGTTAGGGGGATGGAATTCTTTGGGACAGAGAAGGAAGCTCTTCCATGTGAGAAGCACTGGAGCAGGAGTGGGTGCGAATCTTCAGATTATTTAAGGTATAAGTGTGCATGTGTACCAGAATACATGCATACGTAGAGTGCAGGGGGTTGGACTAGATGACCTGCAAGGTCCCTTCCAACTCTAACAGTCTATGATTCTATGTGCAGGCAGGTATTAAGATTTAGGAACTGAAGCAAAGGGTGCAAGAGCAAGAATGCAGGAGTGTCTTGGGGGCACAGAAACAGAAAGAAGTTTCATTTGAAAGGTATGTGTTGTGGATTTCTAATACCTCCATTTACATAGTATTTTATATTTTATAAAGAAAATACTTATCTTGCTCATACCCTGAAAAATAGCAAATAAATTTCAATATTTTAAATCAATCATAATTCATTTACTTTAAATATTGTGATGCCTAAAAATGAAAAACATTGAATTATCCACTAGCCAATTAAATCAGACTATCACACACACTAATAGGATTAAATTGCCTCAATTCCAAGTATTCCAGTTTTATTATTTTGAGAACTGGAATGACTACTTTGTTTTTTGAAATTAAACATACTGTTCTACTATTTGAAATTAAATGTACTATTACATCACTATCAGCTCCTGGTTGCATTGAATTTTTCTGACCGAGCGAGAATGGTACACAATTGAACCATTACTATAGGAAAGTATACCTGACCATGGCAGCAAACTATCAAGAATGAGGCCCCCGCTTAATATTTTTGACTTTGGTAGCAGACAATAATCATTAAAATTTATCATCTTGGTCAATTTATAAGAAATGATTGTTGCATTGTAATGTCAGAAGCCATTCTGTCATATCATCTGTTTGACCACGGAGGAAAGCCAATGGGTTGAAATGTGTATGGTCAGGGTCAATAACAGTCATTGTGAAGAAATGCATTTTTTCTTTGGAAGTTTGAAATTAGCAAAACCTTCACTCTGAGAACAGGCAGGAAGGGGGGAGGTCAGTTCAATTGCTTTCCAGACTTACTTCAGTCCACCTTCACACAAATGCTAATACGTCTAGACAATGGGATGGTCAAGCTTCCCCCCCTTCAAGCAGGGAACAGAGATTTCGAGGTGTTAAATACTAAAGAGACTTCAGGAAGGAAAATTCTAGAAATTTCCAGAAAAGCTTCTCTGACCCTGGCCTAACCTGGTCAATGGGTGGGGAAAAGCAGGGTGATAAAACTCAGGGGAACAAGGAGGAAGCACTCTTTGGTGCTGAGTCCATCAGAACAGACAGAACTCTTAACAGAGGTCTGGAAAGGGTAGCCATTGACCATGTGCTGGCCTGGAGAGCTGAAGAAAGCTTCAAGGTAACTGAAACTCTGTAAAGTTCTGTAACTTCCTAAACTAAGGAGCCTGTCCTATATTTTAACATCTGATAGAGCATGTATAGAGAGAGGGACAGAGGATTTGCATTTTACTCATTTCTTTGGAACCCCTTGCTCAATCTGGTGCTTGTAAATTTTATAACTTTTGGTGCTGGTAGTGGTTCCCTGTACCACTAAGACCTCCGCAGTCTTGGAAACACTATTTTAAAAGGGGTGCCAGGGGGAAGGCAGGCAGTTGGCATGTGGCTATCCCTCCAAGGGCGCTTGTTGTTCAGTCACACAGTCGAGTCCGACTCTTCGTGACCCCATTGACCACATCACGCCAGGCCCTCCTGTCTTCTGTCATCCTCCGGAGTTTGCTTAATTTTATGTTCATTGCATCGATAACACTGTCTAACCAGTGAAGAAGGGGACAGCAAAGGATGAGATGGTTAGACAGTGTCATAGATGCAACAAACATGAAGTTAAGGACGACGGAGGACAGGAGGACCTGACGTGATGTGATCCATGGGGTTGTGAAGAGTCGGACTCGACTGTGTGACTGACTGGCCTATTGGGCCTATACATTTAGATTTTCTTAACCTTTAGGTTCTTAATTCAATTCAGTTTGGGTTACCCCCCCCCCCACTTTCATTTTTCAATTCCCAGTATTCCAGCTTTATTATTCTGAGAACTGGAATGACTATTCTACTATTTGAAATTAAACATGTTTGTAATAAAAACTAGTTCCATTAGTTGTTACAGGCGCACACACAGCAACTCCTTTATTGGCATTTCACAGAGATAAAAATATAGTATCTGGGAAATAAAAATTCAGATTCTACATAAAATACAATTTCTGTTAAAAGATACCCTGCATTGCGCACTTACAGAATTTTACTACGTATAGAAGCAGCAGCCTGTAAAAACTTTGCCACAAGTTCAGTTGTTACAGGCATTAAAAACAAATTCTGTATTTTGTCACCCCATTTTTCCTGTTTACGCTATTTAATTACCGTAAAAAAGAAAAGACCTCAAGAATGAAAGACTGTATCAATTCTAAGTTCTTCCTTGTCCTCGTGAGGAAAATATTTTAAGCAACAGAAATACTGTAAAGCATTTCCATTTGCACAGTGAAAGAGAAAGAGGCTGGCCTGAAGAGTGATAGCTTTTAAATTAAACTATTCCATAAATCACTGAAAGAATATGATCCAATTACCTCTTCTAAGGATTTGCAGCTTGCTTGCATTTCCAGGATTGTTCTAACATGTTCTCTACTTTTTCTTAGAGCTTGGTCAAGCTGATGTGGAAGTGGCAAGTCAGGATCTGGAACTGATCCCATAGCTTCATCAAACTGCAGAATAAATAGAATATAGAAAATCTAGCTGCCTCTGTAAGGCCTGTGGTCATCCAAATCTAAATTCAATTCAAATAAAATCAGCACAGGTACCTTTTGAGCAGTACTTAATATATCATTTTGCCGTCGTTCATATTTGTCTAGCTGACGTTCCAATTCCACTTCTCTTTGATCCCAGGCCATCTGGCGCTCTTCGTGGAACTGTAAGATTTTTTTACATATTAAATAAGGATTTTGTATTAAATAATCAGGCAGTAACACATATTTTAAAGCTTAAATGCACCAAAATTCATATTTTGGTATGTTTCTGATAGTTATACCTGAAGTTATCTTATTTAAAAATTAATCAGTTTAGATAATTAGATGCAATAAGGCAACACCATATGCTTTTTGGTACCTTGTTTTGCTGTACAATTTCTTCTTCCAGGTTGCTGATTGTGCGTTCATATTCAGAAATGACATTGCTCAAATATTTGTTCTCTTCCTTTTGCTTGGCTAATTCACGGTTCAGTTTGAGCTCCTGAAGACGAAGCTCTTCAATTCTCATATGCCACTCAATTACCTGATAACACACAACAGGTAAAATCCTGACAGCAATAAGTTAAATACCAAGCTGAATTGATTCCAGCTGAGTAGCAGACAAATATTCAGAGTAGAAGATTAAGTAAGGCTGAGACTAGAGTTGCCAGGTCCTTCCTAGCCCCTGGTAGGGGACTTTGGGGGCATTTCTGGAGGGGGTGGGGACATTCCCGACATGATGAAATCACACAGAAGTCATGTCATCACGTTGGGGACCAGCACAACCCCGCTCCTTGCCAAAAGCATTTAAAGGGTCCCTTTAAATGTTTTTGGCAAGAAGTGGGGGCCACGTGCACCTGCATTCCAAGCGGTGAATTTGCCACTTGGAGTTCAGGCATGCCCCCCCCTTTCTTGCCAAAATCATTTAAAGGGACCCTTTAAATGCTTTCGGCAAGAAGCAGGGGGGACATTCAACTGAACAACAAGCGGTATATTGCCGCTTGGATTTCAGGCATTCAACCAGCAGCCGCCCCTCTCCCTCCCCTCCTGCAAGATTTAAAGGGCTCTCCAGCTGACCGGAGGGCCATGTGCTCCTGCCAATCAGCTGGAGGGCCTTTTAAATCTCACAGGAAGGGGAGGAAGAGGGATGGCTGCTGTTGGGAGTTGGGTTTCCCCACCAGCCAGCTATCCAGTGGTGGGCTCTTGCCTGCAAAACTGGGGGATCCCCCACCCCCATCTGGGGACTGGCATCCCTAGCTGAAACAGAATAAAGCAAAATAGAAGTATTAGGATCTGTGGACTCAAAGCTTGTTTTGCAAGACCTAAAAATAACTGAATCATGAAAGTAAAAGTGCAGTGTCTCGTGCAACATCAATCAATGTGAAAAATGACAAGAGAGGCTCACAGCCTCTCAGGGCTTTGCCTCCTGGATCAGTCATGGCCTTAAAACAGCTCACAAAAACTGGGGGGAAAGGGGGGGGGAGAGAAACTCAACCCAAGATAAAACTGCGAACCAAAGGGCTAAGCTAACAATGTATATTATAAAAGTACAAATATTTATTAGGGTGCACACATCTTAAAACATATACTGATGCCAATCTTTGTTCTAAGTATCAGACTTATAAAAACTTATCAAATACTAATACATATGATGGGTAAACACTTTCCTACTGAGGACCAAACATGTTTCAGCCCCTAAGGGCCTTCCTCAGTGGTCTCAATTATCAATATAGTATAGACACACATTCATAGACCTGTATACAAGATCTTTAGTACTCATATATTAAAACCAGATATTGTTTCCTTGTATATTTGTAACTGTATTACTGGTATTAGTGATGGGCCATAGGTATAGCCATATGAGTTCCACCAATTATTCTGGTAACAGAGATTTCATATGTCTGAATGTGTGTCCCTCCATCAAGGTAAAGATTGTGTTACAAGCTGCTGTAATGGCTTCCATATATAGTAAGCCTGGGGTGATGCAATCACCTACTTACAGTGTACAATGTCAGCCAGGAAAGATACCAGATGGGAGGGAGTACAGAGGAGAGGGAGATAAGGAGCCGCATGGGGGGAGGAGGAAACAGGTCAGCACAAAAAATTGACAGAAAACCATTATATATATTCACAAACAGCAAGTCCAGTCCACTTCTTCATTCAATCCCAAAGGAGCCCACGTCTGTAGTTGGTGAATCCAAAACAACCGTCTTCTCAGGAGCACTCTGCACATGTTCAGATTGGTGGTCTGTACAGTCTCAATAATCCAAAAATTTAGCTGTTTATCCATATGTCCCAAGTCCAGAAAATGGTTCACTAATGGTGCAGAACACTTATGCAATCTAATGCTGGCTGACATTGTGTAATGTAAGTAGGTGATTGCATCACCCCAGGCTTACTATATATGGAAGCCATTACAGCAGCTTGTAACACAATCTTTACCTTGATGGAGGGACACACATTCAGACATATGAAATCTCTGTTACCAGAATAATTGGTGGAACTCATATGGCTATACCTATGGCCCATCACTAATACCAGTAATACAGTTACAAATATACAAGGAAACAATATCTGGTTTTAATATATGAGTACTAAAGATCTTGTATACAGGTCTATGAATGTGTGTCTATACTATATTGATAATTGTGACCACTGAGGAAGGCCCTTAGGGGCCGAAACATGTTTGGTCCTTAGTAGGAAAGTGTTTACCCATCATATGTATTAGTATTTGATAAGTTTTTATAAGTCTGATACTTAGAACAAAGACTGGTATCAGTATATGTTTTAAGATGTGTACACCAGTGTTCCCTCTAAGCTGAGTTAGTGTGAGCTAGCTCACAGTTTTTTAGCGTCTGGCTCACACATTTTTGCCTTAGCTCAGTAAGGATGGCTTTAGAGGAAACTAATTTATGCAGTACCCAAATCACTTGCTCACAACTTTAATGCCAGTAGCTCATAAAGTAGAATTTTTGCTCACAAGACTCCACAGCTTAGAGGGAACATTGGTGTACACCCTAATAAATATTTGTACTTTTATAATATACATTGTTAGCTTAGCCCTTTGGTTCGCACTTAAAACAGCTCACCCACTCTGAGAGATGGACCATGGAGAACTGCATATAAAACAATGCGGGAAATTGTATTTTAAGTTACACTGTTATCTCCCTAACCTTTTGTGCTCCTCTTGTATCTTTTAATGTGGCTATTAGTTCTTCTAAGCCTTTTAATTTCATCTCCAACTCCAGGGCTTTGTTCTTTGAATTTCGGCGCTCTTGCTCAGCGTGCTGAATGTCATCCATCATTTTAAGTTTGTCATTCTGAAGCTGGATCATAGTTTTGGAGAACTTTTCCTGTTGAGCCAAAGGCAAAGCACCACTAAACTGCCTCCGCAGAGACTGAATTGTCTGTCGTAGATGTTTGGCTCTGTTTCTCCCTTCTAGACGTGCATAATATAATGCTTGTTCCTTGTCATCCAATTTCTGCTCTAGGCGTAGATTAGCAATCTCCATCTTCTGAAGTTTTGATGTAGTGGCTTCTAACTTGGCCATGGCTGTAGCCTCGCTAATCTGAAGGGCTACAATATGCTGATGTAGTTTTGCAATAAGTGCTTTTTCATCTGATTGTGCCTGGATGCCAAAAAAAAAAAAAAAAAATACATGAAAAGTTTTTTCAAAGCACATGTACGCTTGGGGCATATTTTTTGGTTACTACACTTTATGGCTATGGTTAACAGAAATATCCAGACCTGATAGTCCAAAATTTGCATTCGAAGGGATTGCATTTCTTTCTCTCTAGACTGCTGGCGATTCTCCAAAGCATCAACTTGCATCTTGGCAATGTCAGAAAGTTCTCTTAACCTAACAAGACATAACGGATATTTCAAATCAAGATGAAAAAATAGCTCTGAATTCATTGTAATGTTGGCACAGTGACATATTCTTTAGGGCACAGGGTTAGGTCCTTTACAATCAACCTCCTAATACACCATTATACAAATACTGTAATCACTTTCTCCAAAGCATGAAAAAAGCCAAGAAACAAAAGGTATACATCAAAAGCAATTTGCTGCACATCATTAAATATAGCACTTGAATGTGCCATCGAGTCACAACTGACTCACAGTGACTCCATCTGTAGGGCATTCCAGGCAAGAGATCAGCAGAGGTGGTTTGCTACAGCCTTCTGCCATGTAGCAACCCAGTCTTCCTCAGTGGTCTTCCATCTGAGTACTAACCATGGCTGACCCTTCTCAGCTTCCAAGCTCTGACGAGATCAGGCTAAGCTGCTAAATCTGGATTTCAACTATGTTTTCAGATGCAATAAACATTTTTTTAAATAAATGACTGAAAAAGCACATTGCTACTGGTAAGGAGATGTCTTGTGACTGATTACAGGTAAGGAATTGGGCAAAAGCTGAGTATACCACAAGAGCACTTGCGACTATTCTGACTGCCACATGATATGACCATATCATGCACAATACAAAGGAGATTTTCTTTCCACAAACAAGCAGAGTTTACATTGTTAAGTCACAACCCTACCAACACTGGGATGGATTCTATGCTGTGCCAGCAGAAGGACTTTCCATATTTCCTCTTTCCCCACCTGCCGCTTATGATCCTAAATAAGACAATGCCAAGAGTTGAGAATCTACACAAGAAGGGTGGCTGAGTTATGGAGTGGGGGGAAAAGAACAAGGGCTTTCTGCATGAGCAACTTATTCCTGCTTTTCTCAGTAGTTGATGCACTGGCATTGGAACTGCATTGAGCACAGGGGTTCCATACATCTTCCCTCTCTCCACATTTTTCCAGTTGCTATGTTCGTTGGTTTGTTTAAAAATGTGCCTCAAAAACCCCCCAGGATTTCTGAATGATGGTACTGTTGTCATCAAAGGCATCACAGCACCAACCTCCCCTTTTTTGTTGTGCATACACTATATTGATATATCAATGTACTTCTAGAAGAGTAGTTAGGTATGTGCAAGAATCACCCTATTGTCTCTGTGTAAAAATGCCCTCCATTCAAAGGTTCACCCCAATATTTGGACATTTGGAACTGCAAACTAGTTTTTAAAAGTTTCTTGTTAACAAACAGTAGGTGAAAGAGTTGCTTTCAAGTGGTTGGTACTTAATATTTAGTAATGAGTCCAGTGGCACCTTTAAGACCAACGAAGTTTTATTCACGGTATAAGCTTTCGTGTGCAAGCACACTTCCTCAGTGTGTTTGCACGGGAAAGCTTATACCGTGAATAAAACTTTGTTGGTCTTAAAGGTGCCACTGGACTCAAACTTTGTTCTGCTGCTTCAGACGAACATGGCTACCTCACCTGAATCAATGTTAGTCATGTAAATGTCTCTAGCAGGCTGAGAACAATGAAGCAAACCAGTGGAGATGCTCTGAAGCAGTGCTCACCAGAATCAAAATTGATAACAAATACCTGCCAAACCTGTACAAAAAAAATCAAATGCCCATAAAAAATAAATGGGGGGGGGGGGTAGCACTGGACAGCAAGGAATAGGTGAATCTCATAGTAAGAATATTTGTTAATTTTTTTAAAAAAGGACTTGACTATGCAAGGAGAAACATTCCTTCTTTCCATGGGTGAGGATGTGTCTGTCGGGGCATTTCAAGAGAACCAAACGCAAAGGAAAAGAGTGACAACTGAGTGGCCAGAAACAGAAATGAGTGCTCCTATGCCTTCTGAAAGTACAAGGAAGCAAATGGCTGTAGCAAAAGAGAAATAAAAGGAGAGCATAGAAAGAAAAAGGTACCAAGTGCTGCAAGCATACAGGATGAGCAATGATTGCTACTGTGACTTCTTAAAGCTATATGTATCGCTATTAGGCACATGTTTAAAAATAATAATATTTGAAAATCTGCGAACAGAAGTGATTAAAAAATCCCTCATTACTGAAGTGAGGGAAAGAGAATACAGGGCAGGGTTGTCCCCCAGTCATGGTCTAGTCAGAGGAAAGTGGACAGGAAGTAGGAGGAACCAACAAAAGCTCAGGAGACATTCTGCACATAAACAAACATTACTCAAATCCAATTGCTGGAAAAAAGACTGGGGTAAAATGCTCCCAAAAGTACCAGAAAAAAATATGGGGGAAATGTGAAGTGAAAACGAATGGCTCAAGAGAATGTACAGAAAACAAGGAATACACCTAAGCAGTCTGGGGCCAGAACTGATGCAATTATTTTGTGCAGAAAACCCCGAATATCAGTCCTCTCTGCCTTCTCTATCAGGAGAACCTTAATAGTGCTGCTGGCAGGATAAGTGATCTCCCCTCTTCAGTGCAGCCCCTCAAGTTGGGGTTCCTCAGCAAAGGCTAGTCAAGGCTCACGGGCAACTGTTGGGGAGAGGAAACGAAAAACCTGCCTTGACCAGCATCTTCTGCTGGCACTGTGCCGAATCCAGCCCAGTGCACACAACATGGTCACATTTTGACTCCTGGTTTCACTGGGTACTCTGAAGTGGTTCTAAATATGAAAGCCACATTCTAGAAAAGAACCCATGCACACAAATGTCAAACATTTTTTTGCAGAAGCTATCTTACAGACCTCCTAAGTACTTTTCACACTTTCAAAAGTTAAAAAAGTAGCTGGGAAGGTTAAAACCAACTAGCTCTAAAAGTGAAAATATTGCTGGTGCTCTTTCTTCAAACTAGAGAGCTTTCATACAAGGGAGAGGGGTAACAGCCAGCTTTTGATGTTAGCCAGCATGGCCCTTCCACAGAGTTGTAGCTAGAATAACCTCTATGTGTCAAACATAAGGCCTGGGGGCCAGGACCATCCCATCTTGGGATCTTATCTGGCCCATGAGAAACTGGTGCAAGGGAGGAAACAGGAGGTTGCTGGAGGGGGGGTGAGTGGGCAGAGCCACTCTGATCGTGGCTTCAGCATGGCAGAACAACCCTGTCTGCAGGAGTCAAGAAGAACCCCTTCACTTCAGTGGCTGCATCACTGGTAAGATGGGAGCCACTGCAGCCGCATTCACGCTGGCTTGGGGTTCCAAGACCTCTCCATTGGGCCTGCAGCTCCGGGGATGCTGTCCTGGATGGCCACACGGATCTTTGCACATGGGGGAGTACAGACGATCCTCTGCTGAGGCCTGCCGGCAGCCAGTACTGCCGGGCTTGCAATTTGGTGCCTGGGCCTCCCTCCTCACGGACCACCCAATCGTCTTCAGCTGTAGGCAGCTGCTGTCTCACGCAATGTTCCCTCTACGCTGTGGAGTCTTGTGAGCAAAAAAATTCTACTTTGTGAGCTACTGGCCTTAAAGTTGTGAGCGAGCGATTTGGCTACTGCGTAAATTAGTTTGCTCTGGAGCCCTCCTTCCTGAGCTGAGACAAAAATGTGAGCCGGAGGCTAAAAAACTGTGAGCTAGCTCACACTAACTCAGCTTAGAGGGAACACTGCTCACGGGGGAGAGTGATGCCAGCAATCTCTGTTTATATTGGCCGCTGGGCAGCCTGGGCCTCTCTCACATGCACGGCCTTGTACGTGTGGTGCCTGCTCCCCATTCGATGATCCAGCGGCCTTCGGTCTGGGACAACAGCTCCCATATAGCGGTGGCACGGCTTGCAACAATCTCTAGCTTGAACTCCCAGCATCACTCTGCAATGGATCACCTGGTGGCCTTGGTCAGAGGCGGTTGCTGCTGCACGAGCCTCTCCAGCTTATCAGGCTTTGCTTGGCCTGGGTCCTGCCATGCATGTGGCCTTGGACCTGGGCCACCGCTTGCCTAATTCCGCAGGTGGGGAAAGTTAGTTCAAGTTGTCTTCCCAGTCTCCTTCCATGGTGGTTTGGGGTCAGGGGGGAGTTTGCAACACACAACCACTTAGTGTTTTTACCCTGGGGCCCGGGCTCACAGCACTGGTGATGGAAGCGGGCTGGGGAAGGTGTTTGCTCCCCTGCAGGCAGTGCAGGAGCATCTGCCTAGCACTGCACTACTGGATCTCCAGTCCACCCATGCAGGTTTTCCTCTGCACCCCCTCCCCCAGCCCATGGAGCCTTGCAGTGAGGACATACCAACTCAGAGCTTACTAGCTGTTATCCTTTATAAAGTTTATATCTCTGGTACCTGGCATTAGATTTTATGGCACACATGGCCCGGCCCGACAAAGTCACATTTATGTCAGATCCGGCCCTCACAACAAATGAATTTCACACCTCTGCTCTAGAACTTACTTTGATACCTCGATCTTGAGCTCTGTTTCACTCTTCTCCAGCTCCATAATTCGACGTCTGTCTGCCTCACTCACTGCTTTACTCACACTGGTTGACAGATCATCTCGCAAGGACTGTTCCACCTTCTGGGCTTCAAGGTTGATCTTTGTAAGCTGAGACACAGGGGAAATGCAGTCAAGACATTTGGGAATGTCACTCAATATTCAGCTAACACAAAAACTAGTATCTTAGTACTCAACTAAATAACTTCCAGCATCAGGTATTTGTGAACAGCAGTAGGAGGGCACTTCGGGCTATAATACAGGATTGTGGTTTATCCCTGTAATGCTGCCCAGCATATTAGAGGAAAAACCATCCTAATTGTACTAGCATAACATAGGGCAGTCTCTCTAAACTAATGGTCGATAATACCTTTTGTAGTCAGATAGAGTTATTAGAGTATAAACACACACAGTGCATCAGATTTGAAGGGCACATGCGTGTAAGAAATAATTGCATTTCCATTTAAAATGCATGCAAGTGAGCATGTGTTCTGCTTGTATTCTAAAGCAAAACATGCAATTTCAACTCACATGGACTCATTATATCTAACATACTGTGAATATAAGCCTGAAGACAAAAAGCTTCATAAAAGGGGGCCCTAATTCTATATTTTTAAAAAGAATGGGTCAAAAGTCAGTTGGCTTAGAGATCAATCAAAGCCGAATTTTAATTTCAAGGGACAGAGCCAATGGGGATGTAGTCCCCTGAGAGTGAGGTAGCAGAAGTTACTATATTTCTCAAAGACCAGAGGAAGGTCAATACAAATCTCTACCAGGATAGAGTCAATAAGGCCCATGATGGCAAGCAGCAATGGACTGTCCAATGTATGGGAGGCAACAGACATTTCAAGCAGCAAGAAGTGTGAACTATTAAGGAACCTGTAGATGGTCAGTCAATACTAGGACTTCATAGCCCTTGTTTGCACCTTCTTCCTCTGTAACATCTCTCAAGCACTGTGATCTCTCTAAAAGCATATTCCATGACAGCTACATTGCAATAAATTAAAATAAAATCCCAACAGATATGGAGAAATTAAACAAAGGTGGGTAGATAGTCATTATTAGGATGAACACATTATCACAAATTTGTGAACAATCTTCTGAGTTTTCCAGAATGCTTCATCAGGCTGGCTGCTCAGTACAAAAATAAAATCCAAAGTAATTAAGGGGAACCAACATCCTAATATGTATTCTTATAGGGCAGGGAAACCATGTAATTGAAGCTCAATAGCCAACCTCAGCAAACTTTGCCTCAAGTTCGAAGTTGCGTTCTTCTACTTGCTTTAATGTGCTCCGCAACTGTTCATACATGCGCTGAGAATGTGCAGCCCTCTGCCTCTCATTCAGTTCTTTCATTTCCAGCATCGTTATTTTCTTAGAAATAGAAACAATCTCACTGTTGGTAATAGCTTTCGTAGCCTTGTCTGCAGGACCATCTCCCCCTAAAGTTAACAATTACATAAGGCACTATTTTAATCTCTTTGTATGAGAATTAAAATAAACATTACAGAATAAAGACCAAACTTGTACACAATTTGAAGTACCTTCTTCTCCCAATGTATGAAGAACTTAATTTTAAACTGCCCTTATTCCCACCAAATAACATCAAAAAATAAAGTGCAGACTAATCATTGCTGCTAGTTCTGGCAGAATAATGGCAGGTTCAGCTATTACCACCAAAGAACTTTCCAGTTTCCCCACAGCTCTTGTCCAATTCTTGCAGAAAGAAGACAGGTGTTTTGATAGTACGTCACCACAAAATATATTGAAAATATCTACAAGAAGTACATAGTGAAGTGCTGGAAGTGTAAAGAGGCAGTTGGCACCATGGTGGTGGACATGCAAAAAGATAAGGAAATTCTGAAAATACATACATGCTGAAAGTCAGAAAATTTTTAAAATTAATTTTGCTATGAAACCAGAGACCATGCTGTTGGGAGTCTTGCCAGACAATACTGAAAGAACTTTACAAGACCTTTTTAGATATATGTTAACTGCAGCCAGAGTACTACTGGCAACTAAATGGAAAGGTGAAGAATGTCTAGCCTGTGAGAACTGGAAAGACAAAATGGCAGAATACGCTGTAATGGCAAAATTATCAGACTATAAAAACAGAAGACAGATCAAGAAATTTGAGAAGAAGTTGGAAGAGAGGGAACACAAATTACTACTATGGATTTTGATTTGTAAGAAGCAACTGAAATGCTGTTTTATGGATTCCGCCATAGTGTGTGTGTGTATATATGTATATGTATATATATATATATATAGGCTAATATAACTAATATAATCAGTATAGTATTGTATGGTATAGGATTTTATATATAATTAGTTTCTTTTGTTTAAAAGCTTTATTCCCCCTCCTAA